ACTGAACTCTGTCTTCCGCAACCCTGTTCCAGAACGGTCCCAGGGTCTGGTTGATGTCATCTTTCCATCGTGTTCTTGTTCTTGCTCGTTCCATTTATTTGTTTAGCACCTTACCATATGCCCAGTCCAGCTCCATTTGAAATGGTCTATTCTATTTAACTGTTTAGTAATTATTTAACTTAGCGAGTTATTTTACTCTAATGAGTTTATATTAACAAGTAAAAATAAATAATTATTGAGAACGTGTCCTTCTAACATTGAGATCAGTACATTAATATATAAAACTGCTGTTTGCTGTATATCTGTATGTTTATTATCATATCTTCAGAAGCGAATGCTAATAGTGTGTTTTGTGCTGTTTTCATCTAACCTCGCTGTTTTAAAAAGTAAACGAATTATATAGGTCACCCCATTTGCGAATTGAGGAACATCTTTGTGATGTGATAAACAGACTAGTATATGCGAGCTGAAATCAATCAATCGATAGATCAATCATTTAATGACCTCGGTAGTATCGAATTAGCACACTAGCTCATTTTTACAATGATTGCAAATCCTATTGAATCTGATTCGTGCTAATTTAATACAATCATTTGTATTTATCAGTACGGCTATTAGTTGAGATCTGAGTGTTCATTACATTGTTGTAAAAAAATCTGTTTAAATATTTCTATCAGATATATCAGTTATATAGTATTGATTATCAATTTTACTTTTTGGCAGTTTGTATTCACATAAAATTCTTAAAAAAGTAATACTGAGCAACGTTTGTGATGAGTCTGCGTTCCGAATGCGCTTAATACAAAAGTGCTTAGAAATTAAATGTTCTTATTATCTTAAGTGTAGTATATAATTTCTTTGGTTACACGGTCATACTTGTAAATGTTATAAGTTTGGAGTTTCTTCATTAGAACGACTCTCCTCAGTTTAAGATTCCCGTAAATCAAATAAGTAAAAATATATATATATATATAAATATTAGTCATGATTTTCAGAATATGTTTTTGATAATTGAATACATTATATATGAGTTATTAATATAGATTAAACTATAGTCTCATCAGGCGGTTTACAGAAATATTACACATTTCATATTTAAGGAACAATCACCATTACACCCTCGAGCTAGAAACATAACATCGTCTTAAGATTCGTGACGCATAAATTCTACGTTATTTTTAGCCAAACGCCAATTTCCTTGTTAAATATAGACCACCCATTCATAAGTACGTAGTTCGTAACTCATCAGTAATCACTAGCGCCACTAAGACCGGCAGGGGCGGACTGAGGCTACAGCGGGCCCTAGGCCACATTGTTGTACAGAGCCCGCTTTCCGCCCTATTTCCGACCATATTTTTCAGTCAGTCATGTACACACTTTTCGTTTGGTAGTTTTAAAAATGACAGGCCCTTGGCACGTTCTTGCTCGCCTAGGCCTTAGTCCGTCTCACGTGACCGGGAATTCCTGAGTTGTTTTTAAATATGGAATTGGACTACAGAATACTGAAGTAGAAGAGATTTCAATTTGATTTCAAAGTTCTTAAAAGACCGAAACGGAAAATACAATGTTCATATAAATAATAAATTAAATTGCGTTGTATCGACGCAATTGATATTTTCTCTCTAAATGTCTAATTTTCAAATAACGTTACCAGCTGGCGAAGTGCTGTACCAGCTATATCGATTTGTTGAATCGTATTTTTTTTATTTTAAACGATTAGTTTTAAAATTTTCTACGAAGTTTCCACAACTTATTTTGATACGTTCGTACACAAGATTTTCCATTACTGTCCTTGAATTAAACAACACAAAAATACATTTTTGTGGTTTCGGTACATATTTATTACGGTCTCTAACTACAAGGCAATTACTTTTTTTATTTCAAACAGCTAAATATTTTGAACAAGTATATTTTATAAAAGAAGCAGTTAGTGTTTGTTTTAGTGAAATATAGGTATGTGAATTTAAATAAAAACTATTTCAATACAATACCTATACTTTATTGATTTTACTTACCTGCATTCAAAATAATTACCCATACATTATAAAAATCGGTAATTCATATTAATTTCCGATTGTGCCACAACACTATTTAAGAATCGCAAAGAGCAACTCAAATTTGTCTACAAAAAACAGAGTGTAGGTAAAATTAAATTGTCGTAATTCATCCCTATAGATTTGCTTACGTACCCGTCTATCACTCATCCATAGTAAACATTGTATTTCATTCGAGTCATAACATTGCCCTTGGCCCATAAAGCTCACATTTTTCATCGACCAGCCCGTTATAACTGCCTACGCACTACGTCTCTAGAACAACCCAATACACTATGATAGCTCATAGTTTATTGGCTACGTCACACCGAGAACAAACAGTTTATTCCAAGACTCAATATCAACGTAGTGTTGTGACGTCAGAGACACCCTTGCACTGTCAGGTATTCGAATAGCTACCAAAGTGTAGTCATGCTACTAGACAACCGTTACTCATTATTAAACATTTTTCTACTACATTTCCTGTAAATACTTTCATTTTCAAAGATATTTCATTCACCGCATGGGCCGCTCTTTGTTATTACTACTGCGGTTTAATGTCATTTATATTTTTGTATTCCTTTTAAGTTCTATTAATATTGTTTTTTATTATTATTTTATGGATAATTTTAATTCACATATCTATAATAATAATCTCAGGATAATTCACACAGCGCCATCTAGACCCAAGTTGAGCCAGCTAAAACTTGTGTTATGGGTACTAGATAACTGATACATATACATAGATTATTATTTTTTTCTTTTGTAAATACATATTATACATAGAAAACACCCAGACCGATACAAACAATCATACTCATGAATACAAATGTTTGTGCCGTGCGAGGAATCGAACCCGCGACCATCGGTCGTAAAGCGGTGTGCTAGACCGCTAGACCACCGAGGTCGTCAAAAAATATCTGAACTCAGAGATGATTAAAATTTACTGATAAATGTTTTTCTGTTAAATAAATGGTTATTAATAATGGTGCATTCTCCTAATGCAACTGGTAATATGCTGGCGGGGCATAAAAGGAGAATTATAAGATGAGCATGACGTCAGATCAGTTGGTCCATCGTAGCTAATTCACCAGTAAATTACCTATGATGCTTTCTAAGGAGAACCGCGTGGATTTCGACCTAATAGAATAACTAGATATAAGAATTGACAATACCTTCCATCCTATATATGTATTTTGTTTATTGAATATTACTGAATGTTATGAAAACGTAATTAGACCTGGCAGCACAACATCCGCCAGTTCCGCTAGTATCTATATATTAATACGAGAAGTAAAAACTATGTATTCCTTTTTACAAAAATTGCGTAGACGGATGATTATGAAATTTCGCACGCTTATAGTTTATATAGAAAAGAAGGAGACTTATCATTTATACAGAATACTAATATGGTTTTTAATCTATAGATCTATACATATCAATAAAATTGTAGTGTCTGTCTGTAATATTAAAATAACCGTTTTATATTCATGCATATGAATATAAATACGGTACACACACCAAAATAACATTTTTTACAATTTTTGGGTGTCTGTCTCTTTGTTCCGGCTAATCTCCATAATGGCTGGACCGATTTTGACGGGACTTTTTTTGGCAGGTAGCTTTAGCTAACTTAGGCTACTTTTATTTTAGAAAAATAAAGTTTTATTCCACGCGGTCGAAGTCGCGGGAACTGCTAGTTATACATAAATTCAATAAAAACACACTACCATGTATTTGAAACACACACACACACACACACAGTATATATGTATACGCTTTTTGCCTGTGCGACTGCCTGTGCCTATAATTATAGAAGTTATAGTCTTTGACCATAGTATCTTAATAGTGTTCAAATTTATAATTTAAATTAACTATGGTCGAGTTTCGTAAGTTTATAAAGTTAATATAAATGTGTATATAATATATAACATTTCTACAATCGAAAAAGAAGAACAAAATGTCGCGTTTCCCCTATAATAGGATTCAGTAGAGCGACCCCGCACTGAATGAACGGCACGCCCTTTGACATTTTCCAAACGATCCCCAAAATGTCAAAGGCAATTGTTAATAATAGAGAAACAATTTATATTGTTTCCTATACAGAATATTAATTAGATATTATCTGTTTTTTTGTTACATTTAATAAACAGCCTAAGCCATTCGTATAGTTCATGCAATTAAAATAACAATGCATTAAATGCACCGAATATGTAATTTTTATTTGGATTAGTTGAGTCAATTAATTTTTATTATCAAATTTTTAAGTTACTACTTCCTAGTACGTCAACATACTAAAGATATTTGGTTATGAACACACAAAATAGATTAACATCAATACAATGATTTGTTTAGAAGCGTGTAATTGGTACAAAGCTGGATAGTAATCCAAAAGGATGTCTGGAAACTAAATTTTATGCATGCAATATATGTTAGGTATACTAAAATAAAAATAAAGTATATATATATAATATAGATATACTAAAATAAAGATAAATAATAAAAAGTACAGTTGCCGAATTTCAACATTGTACCACCCGCCAGAAACTAAAATACCATACTGAGCATCTGGATGAATAGCGGTCGCCACTTTGCGATTTTCTAGAAACTTTGCCACGCACAACCTCATTGTGGATTCACCTTCCAGCAATGGTATTTCCTAATACTATATTGAAACCTTCAAGAAAAAGTAGTTCAGTAGTTTTTGAGTGAATGTGTAACAAACATTAGGGATGTTTGTTTTCACATTTATAATATTACCAGCTACTCGCTACATGTACTATATATATAAACCGTCCTCTAGAATCACTCTATCTATTAAAAAACCGCTTCAAAATCCGTTGCGTAGTTTTAAAGATTTAAGCATACATAGAGACAGGCAGCGACAGCGACTTTATACTATGTAATGAAGTAATTAAAGATAATATTGATTGGATATAATAACATATAACGTGTCATTGTCAACAGATACGACAGGTTGCTCCGCCGCGCCCGCACAGAGGATCTCAGCGAGGTGTCCGGCATCGGTTGCCTTTACCAGAGTGGGGTGGACAGACTCGGCAGGCCTGTGGTCGTTTTCATCGGCAAGTGGTTCCCCATCGGAGACATAGACCTAGATAAGGTGAGATTTGTATACACGCTAGTTATGTCCTTCGGAGCTATTAGCGTACAATCGGTTAAAAACATTCTAATGTTAAATAGAATTTATAATTGCGTGCTTTATATTAGTTTACGTCGTATTTACGTTCTCACTTCAAAGGATCTGGTTTCTATAATTCCCAACCTTTTTTTGTTAGAGCACATGAATTATTAAGGTTAAAGAAATTCTTTACTTTGTGCTGATATATCAACTCAAAGTAATTGATAATGTTAATAAAAAATTATAAATTCTATTTAACATTCTAATGTTAAATAGAATTTATAATATTTTTAACAATAATATACATGATTTTAATTTACTGTCTACTATAAATTAGAAAAACATATTACATGTGACTACACTTTTGTTACATTTATTATATACTAGGTAGGTATATCCTACGGCGCTATTCGCATAAAATCAATTAAAAATATTATACCTAAACTTTTATTTAACATAAATATAACTTTAAGAATAACATTTAAAAAAAATACATGTGACTATACATTTTTGTTACATTTATTATATACTAAAGGTACCCGCGATTTCACCCGCATGAAATTTATAGCCTATTTGTTGTTCTAATGTAAAATATCTTATATTACTGTAAAGTTTCATCAAAATCAGTTCAGTAGTTTTTGCGTGAAAGAGTATAAATATTTAGATATATTTTAAATACGTACATATATAATATACATAAATAACACCGAAACTGATACAAACAATCATATTCACGAATATAAATGTAAGAAGCAGGGAAACCAAGGTGGACCGACGATCTGGTCAAGATCGCTGGAAGGCATTGGATGCGAGCAGCGCAGGACCGATCGTCGTGGAGATCTTTGGGGGAGGCCTATGTCCAGCAGTGGACGTCTTCCGGGCTGAGATGATGATGATGATGATGAAGCAGGGAAACTCCAAATTTATAAAAACTAGTTAAATACCTATCAGTGGTGGTTAACAAAACCTAATCACGGCTATTTCAGTCACAAAATACAGTGCTTATCATGGTACCTATAGTTATACAGAAAAAATCTGCTGAATCAACATCACTAGTTCGCACCATTGTTTGTTGACATCCTGAGCATATTATGCCTTATTTGTTTAACCTTAAAGTCTATAGTGTTTCTATATTTTTTACTTATTGTTACATATCACTTGGTTAAAACGAGGCCGTACATATTTATGCAATAGTATGAAACACGTGTGTAGAATTATTTTACTAATACCTGCAGTAGAAATCGTACTTCCATATGCTACTACATATCCTGCTCCCTTCTGTGATGCAAGCTACTCTTACTGCTGATCTACACAACTTATTACTTCAGTCATACAGTTTTTGATGTAGGTAATCTTCTATTATCAAGCCAAACATATGTATAAACCAAAGGCAGTCACGTGAACATTAAAAAACTTGGTTTGTCATTCCTGTGCGATTATGGATGATTGCTGGTTAATAAATATATTTTTATATTCTATAAATTTGTTGTTATATTTTTGTTTCCTTGTTATTTCTCTATACAAATATCAAAAACAACAACAATTAATGGTTATATTCTTTTTTGTTATTTTATTTATTGTTTTATTCTTTATATTTATGTTTATTTATTGTTTTTGTTGGACCTATCCTTACCTCATACGTATGAACAATCCAAGACAGTGTAAGTATTTAAAAAAAAGTGCAAGGCAAAAAAGTCGATAAAGATCGATAAAGATCCAATCTTTATGGATTTTTTAGAATATCGAATAAAATATCTTCATATTTACTATAATAATAGAGTAATAAATAACCTATGTTAAAATAACAACAAAGGAGCAACCCTTTAAATTAATTTGTTGTAATTTTAACTTAGGTTATTGATTACTCTATTATTACAGTAAGTACGCAAGTTTCTTGCTCATTCTTTTTGTGATGAGACAGCTTTCCGAATGAGCGATAGATTAAAGAAAATGTGATGACTATTCAAAAGTGCTTCAATGTAAGTTCATTGAAATAAATGATTTTCTATTCTATTCTATTGATTGCAGGCGCTGTTGTATCTAATCAAGCTGTTGGACCCGATCGTGCGCGGGGACTACGTGATCGCATACTTCCACACACTAGCCTCCTCGGCCAACCATCCGCCATTCTCCTGGCTGAAGGAGGTCTACACCGTGCTGCCTTACAAGTAAGTCAGTTTTCTATGATACCAACATGTCGTAGGCACTATTGGAGTTATCAAGATATACTGTAAATAATATATTCAATATCTAATATTAGGTATTTTTGTTTAGGTATACAAGTAAATACTTATTAATTATTGTATCTTTATTTATTAGTCGTTATATTTTAGACATATTTTTAATGATTAATGACTTATTTTTTATAATTATTAATTTGCACATTATAATCCACTCAAAACTTCGTATGTCACGCTGTATTGGGTTGACTGGAAGGGATCTGTTTTAGAGATAAGTTGTTCTTTATTATGATTGTATATACGTTTGGACAACTTTTTTTTTTTTAGCTTTTTTGTGTGATACGGCAAAAAATACTTAGTTTCTTTTTCATTTATATTGTAAACGTTATATGTTACTAATTAAATATATATAAAATGTTACCTATAATTTTCACCCTTCCACCATAAACCACTATTTTTAATAGTAAATTTAATCATTTATATAAAAATAACTTGTTGGGTCAGCAAGTATAAATATAATATTATTGCGACTAGATAGGTATTTATATAATATATATCTATAATACGTATGTAGTATAAAAAAAATGTTATACTTGTTATTTGTACAGATTATTTGCTTCTGTGGTTATGGTATAACTATTTGCACACCTAATAAGGTCACGGGTTCTATTCTCAGTCTCCAATTAAATGCACGAAGTCTGTTGTGACATGCAAAGGTTGGTTTCTGTAAATCAAGTTCATGCCAAATCTTAAATCGGCAACGCGCATGTGACCCACCTGGTGTTTCAAGCGTCCTTAGGCTACGGTAACTGTTTACCATCAGATGGAGCGTATGCCTGTTTGCTACCATCGTAATATAAAAAAATGCATCCATAGGTCCCTACATAGAGAGCACAATGTTGAGAAAAACAATATTATGTAAGAAGTACATATTGATACAATTTTTATTTTTATTTTTTTAATTACAGGTATAAGAAAAACTTGAAAGCGTTTTATATCGTACATCCGACGTTTTGGACAAAAGTAAGTATAACATAAACAAGTATTAATAATAACTGTTGACAATTCACACAGCGCCATCTAGTCCTAAGCAGAGCTTCTGTTGTGGGTACTAGGCAATTTATATGAATACTTTTTTTAGTTTATACACAATATGACATAGAAAACATCGAGACTGATACAAACAATTATACTAATCATAGTAATAATAATATATAATAATAATAATAGTAATAAAAATATTTACATATATAGTAGGTATAGTAATAGTGATACATGTAAATATATTTCAAAAAGGGTATATTAAGGTTTCTTAAGGGTCGGCTTAGCGCACGTGACATTCCTGGTGTTTCAGGCGTCCATACGCTACGGGAACCATTTACCATCAGATGGGCCGTATGCTTGTCTGCCACCATCGTAATATAAAATAAATATTAACTTTCGCTGTGTGATGTTCGCAGATGATGACGTGGTGGTTCACGACGTTCATGGCGCCGGCCATCAAGGCGAAGGTACACACGCTGCCCGGCGTCGAGTTCCTGTACTCGGTGATGGCGCGCGACCAGCTCGAGGTGCCCGCCTTCGTCACCGAGTACGACATGACGGTACGTACGCAGTCGCACGCACTCGTACACTCTCGTACACACACGTACACACTCGCACTCACTCGTACACACTCATACGCAGGCGTACGCACTCGTACACACTCGCCCGTACATGTACACTTTCGCACGCACTTACACAGTGTGTTGGCTCACTGTGTAAGCGCGTGTAAGAACGTGTTTACATTAAGAAGTATATTTTTGTTGTAGTGTGTCTTAAATTAAGAATCTTGATTGAAATATACAGTCAAAGATGATTATTTTTTACTCGACCATCGAAAGTCCCTAAGTTTTTCATTGGTATGTGATTGTCTATGTATGTACTTCAAGTTTAAATGTCTTTATCAATGAAGCACAAACTTATTACGACACTAGACGAAGCCATAAGCTAATGTTCATATTTATATATTTAATATTATATATTTTCAGATAAACGGCTTGCACTACTTCCAACCGGATACGAACAACACGTAAAGCGGCGCACTCCCCTGTTCTTAACTTAGTTAACGCTCTTGTTATAGGTACTATGTTTGATCGGCCTCGCTGTGTTGCCATTTAGCCTTCAGAGAAACTACCAAAACCATACACGACATAGCTGAAATAATTTGTGTTCACAGAATTTTGGTAGCTTTTTTCTCTAAAGACAGTGGTAACATTAATTCGAATTGACCACTGTAGATTCAAAGATTAAATTTTCTTTTTTTTCTAAGTGGCAATATCGAAACGCAATTTGCATGCGGCCACTGTTAAAGTTTGGTGGGATTTTTAAATAGTTTAATTGTTACACTGTATTTATTGTACTTTATTGAACAGAGTAAATAAAGTAACTCGATACCATGAAAGTTACGCCTACACTGTGTAGGTGTTATTTAGATTTAAAAAAACTACTATTTGTGTACAACATGGTAGATAATTATTATATATTTTCTTATAAAATGGACTATTGTAGATATATTTGTTTTTTTTTTTAATTATATACTATTTAAGGATCCCAATCGAAACATAATGATTGTTGAAGTATATCATGTAACTTGTATTAGCGGTGCATTTTTATATTATTTAATTGTAACTCTATATTTAAGGATATATTATCAATCGATGTTTACGTCTTTATTGTACTTACTACAATACCAACAACACTTTGTACTTACTTATTCAGCGTCTTAATTCTAGAAACGTAGTAGTTTTTCTAACTATATATAAATTTTATTTTTTTATCGTTATATGTGCTATTTTGAAGTCACACGTTAATTTGTATTCGTGTTTCGATATCTCGTGTAATCGCTTGTTCCGTAACTCCACACTTAAACAATCCTTTAACAGGGTATTTATTTAGCTAGCGCATAGACAAATAAAGTTATTTTTTAAATGAATCATATATATGATATGTTCAAATATAAGTTTTTTATAGAGATTTTATGTGGTTCCATTAGCCAACATTAGTGGTTGTAAAAGAAAGCGTTCACTATGTTTTAGGAAGGTGCTTCATGAGTTTGCAAGTGAAATTTTTATTTTTACATTAGACAGTTGAATGTAGACTTTAATATATTGATAAGTTAAAGTTGTAAATACGCTGTTGATATCGCAAATTGTGGCAAACGCCTGCACTATTCACCGCGGTCGATGTATCCAGTTGTTATATATACAAATTAAACGAGGCCTGTCATATGTTTAGAAGCAAACATAGCAATTGCAATGTAAGAACCTACCATAGTGAGATTTCATATTTTTGTATATTAAGAAACAAGTTAAACCTTACAGAAATTTTTAATATTCCAACCATGATTTTGAGGACTGATGACAGAGATATTTGCACACAAGATTATAAAGAATGATATTGCATCTTGAACACAAAATTGAAGTTTATTTTCAACACGTTGCTATGATTACGCCCCAATTGGAGGGTAAAATTGTATGATACAATGATGGAGTACGAAACGCCTTCAAGTCTTCCATCTAGCTTACTCGCACCATATACATGGAGACAGAAAGCAAAAAATAAATAAAAATTGACGTCAATTTGTGTTCACAATGCAATGTTTATTATATTCTGCGCGTTATTGCGTGATACAGGTGACAGATATAGAAAAATCTGATCATTAATGAAAACTCATGGAAAAATGTTAATTAACTATTATTCTGATTTGAAAAACATCACAAAAGACAATACTTTTTAAAGTAAAAAATTACAACTGTCACCCGCATAATACAACAACGCGCGAAATATAAGGTCGCTTATATACAGTTGGGTCAGATTGCTCGAATGCGAATAACTTTCCGATGTACTACGATTGGAGCATTTAGTAATTACGCCCCGCCCTCTTTGGTAATGGACGAATCGGATAACCGATGACTGATCGATCGTATATCGGCGGCCTAAATGTTTTGTATTCTTGCAGATGCAATAGTGTTGCCAAGTTTTTTAATTAATATACCACTGCCACAGATGCTAAAATGTTTAATGCAACTGTAATTTCAATAACTTGCTAGTAAATGGTGCCATGAAGTAATCACATTGTGTATGGGTACATATAAATAGAAAATTATAAATAAAAACTGTTACATGAGAAATGGCAATGAATAAAGGCTATAATATAATACTATAACCATCCAGTGGCGTAGCTACTTAGGGGCTAAGTGGGGCAGTGGGCAGTAAAATCTCGATCGAATTGTTCTTTTGAAATTTTCTCTCATTTTCAAAATAAATATGACAGATTGCAATGCGACTTTAATTATGGCAACTAAGTTGAGAGAAATTCGAAAGTTATACCTTCGGAATTCCCCTAATTTCTTTCTGTGGGTGGCAGTGTTGTCAATTTGATGGATAGCAATATGTGCGGTTTAATAAAACTAATGACCCCATTTCTTTATTTGCCCCAGGGCCCTTGGTTACCTAACTACGCCACTGTAACCATCACAGTATCTGCTGCAATAGCCATGGTGCTGTTTAGACCTATTATCAAAACTTACCACTTTCTACCATATGGGACTATAAAATTGCCATTCCAGTACGTAAAAAAACTACCCTCTTACTTATAAAAAACATTGCTCTGTAATGTTTGTTACGATTTTATATAGGATTTTGTTCAGAATTTTATATATTTTTATGTAAGTATTTACAAAAATAATGTCTTAGTATTTTTAACATAATCTCGGATTACCATGGGACTAGATGGCGCTGTGTGAACTGTTCAGGGTTATATGTATTTTTTCCTGAATATAAAAAAGATAGTGCTCACTAACTAGCCCCTATATACCTTTATTTATTGTTTATAAGTAAGGGGAGACATCCATAACGGTTACAGTAAAAATTCTATTTTACTTTCAAAGATTTAGAATCTATTTCGTGATGAAAATGTAAGGTACAAACAACAGCCAATATATATTATATATATATGAAGCATGTATATTTTTTCAACATTGTGCCACTGTTCCAATTCAATAAACATATAGTTTAAGAAAATGCAATATGATTGTGTGAGTGTATGATATAGAATGAGCGTATAGTAATTTTTATATCCGGTTTACATTGGTCAAGTCGTAGCGAACTAGCCAGTAGCTGTGTTCATACAGCAGCCAGTCAAGCGTTATTCTTTCATATTTAATACGTCCTTTACTGTACGTAATTTGGCAGTTAACATGACACGAAATTGCGAAATAAACTCCGTAGTTTTAACGACTTTAAAGTCTAGTTAGGTTTTTTCAAAATAATTGTAATAAATTTAAGTTTTGCATGAGGTTTTTCATGAAGGGTATATTAAGGTTTGTTAAGGATTGGCAACGCGGTCACTCCAGGTCTCAGGCGTTTCTACGGTAACCATTTACCATCCGATGGGCCGTATTCTTATTTGTCACCTTAGCTATATAAAAAGCTGATATACGATACACTGTGTACTACATTTTAATAAAAACTTGAGCAATGTAAATCGGGTATTATTCTTGTGTTGTAAGTTTTTAAAGCAATTTATTCAAATATATTTCAAATTGTTGCTAATTGTTGATGAATAGTCACGTAATGTATCGTGACGTATATATGTATATTGAATTAGTAAAGTTATGTCTACATTTGAGTGCGTCGTGGTTTACTACCCAGTCCTGGACTGTAAGGTCGTGAGTACGAATCTGGTGACACCAATATCTTTGGGTATCCATTTGTATTTCTAACACGCTCCAGTGATGGAAACAACGGTAATAAACCAAATTTATTAAATACAATATAGACGGGCACGGTAGTCTCGCAGTTTAGCACAACGCCTATTTTCCGATAGTCGCGGGTTCGATTCCTCGTTTGGTACAAACATCTGTATTCATGTCTGTATTATATAATAAGTATGTATTTACAAAAAAAAAATATTTAAATATGTATTACATACCAGTTATCTAGTACCCATAAGACTAGTGGGATTATTTGGCGTCGCATGTTGTCCAGGATTATTATTAAAAAGATTTGGTTTGTTATCGGTACTCGAGTCAAATGTACTTAGAGAAATGTAAGCGTGTCCAATGCGACTTCCATTGACAATGCCTCTGGCTGCCTCGTCTGGGATAGCAGTCGTGAATACATATTATTATTATATACATTTTGAAGCACTAGTGGACTAATGAATTTATATCAACAAGGCCTTAGATGTGTAACTATTGTTAATTTTTCCATCCCTGCGTTGCAAAGTTTATCGCTGTTGATAATTCGTGTATGTATATGTCCTTTGGTCAGACGTCGGCAGTCTGCGTCACATAATTATATTGTAAGACGCTATTTAGGAGTTATGTCAAAAAATGTGATCAAGCAAAATGTTGGTTAAGTTTCATATTTTATTAAAATAGTGCGTTAAATAGGTTATGTAAATATTTAACAAATAAAATATAAAATTACTAATTTACTAATATGATTGTTTCATTTTTCTTATCTATTCGTATATAGAGATTTAGGAAAAATGGATATAGCTGTATTTGCAAGTGCATCTATACTGTTTACGTCAATACTTACCAATTGAAATTGAGAAATTAAATTGAAGGGCAAACTTTTTTCTTACTTATTATAGAATGATTTACTAGCCTACTCCAATATAGACACTCGTGTCCAGAAGATTGTGGAATGAGTAGGTATATAGTTAAATCAGTAATGTAATGATAAATTCACTACAATGGTATTCTATTGGGGTACCCATGTGGAGCAGCACGAGTAGTATCCACCTATGGGGCAACTAGTCCCAAGTACACACAAACCACTCAACTGAATTTCTAAAACTACAATAGAAGAAACTGGTTAGAAATCTCCATATTTTTAATTTATATATTGATATTTTCCGTATCTTGATTATGCAATGTCTGTTATTGGTGAATAAAGAATTTATCTAACAAAATGAACGAATCGCAACGCAACAGACGAATTAATCGCCCAATTTCAACATCTAAGGTGCGGACAGTCTCGGACCGCAACTAGGGGAGGGGGGGACAATGCAAGGGGGCTCATGCCCCGGGCGGCACGTTCGAGGGCGGCATTTTTCAGTTTTTGCCCTGCCTCAAGAAATGAGGATTAGGAGCTGGCTATGGATATAATAATATCAGTATGAAGTCCCCCTTTGTGGATGATGTAAACACTCAGGGGTTATTTGTTATGAATAATATTGATATGCTGCATCGCACCTGCTATAATGGTAAACAATGGTGGAACATCAGTATATTATGAAGTTAGTGGGGTTTCACCAGGAGTTAACCCCAATGGTTGGGGGGAAGGGGATTTACCATGCCAGGTTGACCTCCACGCAGTTTCCCCTGGAAACCATCATGATAAATTCTTGGTGAATTTGTCATGATGGGCTAAATGACCTGACCTCATACTCATCCTATCATCCTCCACTGGTGCCCCGTCAGCGTAAACCGTTAGCGCAGGCGGGTGTACCATATCATTATCATCCACAAAAAAAAACCCCAATGGTTTCCATAGACAACTATGTAGAGGTCAATCTAATGTTGTACATTATTAGAAATGGCCTGTTACTAATAATCGCTTACCCTCTCACATAAGGGCTTTAATATTAAATATTGAAAGGTAATTATTTGGGAGAGTGAAGATCAACAGAAATAAATAATGCTAAAACTCGGTGGTGTTTGGACCATACTTCTAATTCTAGCATGCTACATTATTTTGTTATAATCATTAATATATTCTTTATTGCTCTTATAGATACTAATTATAGATATTGTGATCCTTATAAAACAAAGAGAGGATTTACTGCTATTTAGTTTTCAATGCTAATTCCTTATTGGACAATTTCAAAACTTTAGATTGTTAATATCTCATGATAAACTATTCTAGCCATCATTCTAAAGTAATGACAGGATGATGTGTGCCTGTAATATGCTTTTGTCTATTTGACAAGCAGGGCAGTGTCCACTCCCAATAAATATATATTAAAAAAAGTAATTTCTTTGCTTCAACCATCAAAATCATGAGAAAAGAAGTGAAAAACTGAAGTGGAAGTCTGTCTATGTATAACCACAGATAATATAAGTATAACTATAAAATAGATTTTTTTTTCTTTTCTATCTGCAATCAGCCGTTCCGGCTATAATTAGATTGTGTGGTGTTATGGGCATTTGGAGATAAGGCACATCAAGTGAGGTGCCATCTCATTTAGTTTCTTTAGATGTTGGCAAGGCGAGTACTTTTTAGTCTAGATGGACAGTTATTTATATCCAGTAGTTTTAAAGCTAGCTGGTTCTTATGGCTGGCTAATCTGTCTTTATATCTTCCACAGGCTTTCTGTTTCTCTTCTCTTAAAGTTGCCATTAATATCTATTTTAATATTATTAATAATTTTATATAAAATAAGACTACTAGTTACTTTCTAAAATAAATACTTTATTATAATAATTACTTAACATGGTGACGAGTATTTAAAAAATTTACTATAAAATTGATTACTGGATATTTCTGTGCTGCAGACATTAGTATTACTTTAAACACTGTAAGTACATTTGAGAGTAAATATCCACTGATGGCGCCCAGGTAACATGGAATGGGCCACTGTTGCCATGGTGTGTTCCAGTCCAGAGGTATCACCACCGCGCCTATCCACGCCCCGCACACCGTCATAATGGAATTATTGACTAGCATCTCTGTAATACTGTCTCTTCCGTAATTCTTCATCCCGAAAAGCTGTTGCATTGACGCTTCCACGCCGGAGTGAGCTATCAGCGGGAATACTGTCAGCAACGTCATTAAACTCGATAACATTAACGTCTCTTCATGACAATCGAGTATTGGCGCTCCGAAGAGCATTATACCAATAAAGAAACTGAATAAAGTCACTAGCAAGAATATAAACGATCTCAAAATGTCACTAACTTTAATCCTGTTTCCTTTGCTTCGTTTTGCTTGTATATCGTTTGAAGCGTTTAAATAAAATGACTTCAACAATTCGGCCAGGAATATTAGCACTAAAATATAGAAAGATGAGCCGTTTCCAACTGAATATAGTAATCCCTTAAATGATACAACGGTGACTATACTTGGTAAGTAAATGCATGTCAATAAACTGGATATTGTTACTTTTCTCAATTCTAACTGATTTTTTAAGGAAAACATTTTAGATATCACTTAAAGTTAGCATTACAATTTAAGAATTTAAGGTTTTGTCTTTAAACCAATGCGATTTTAGAATCAATAGTAAATAAAAAATACAAATTACAATGAAATGGTATGATTTAAATCCAATAAATTGTCAAACGTCAAGCTGACAAGTGACATAAAAAGAGACTTAACAGTGACTTCTTCAAAATCATATGCTATCTGTCAATTAGTCAGTGTGACAGTATCAGTTGACAGCTGTAATTTTATTTAGTAATTACTTCGGTTTCTTCATCCTATTTTAGTAGTTTTTAGATTGTTTTGTTAACATTGTCCCGTTACGCCCCAAATTCTAATTATCTCAATAATGCAACTACTTATACATATTTATAAAAGAGAAACTTCTATATAAATGGAGTGTATTAGAATTTTTTTAAGACCACGTTTTAAGAGAAACTGTTCCTACGTCTACTTTATTTTAATTATAACACATATTACATACTTAACGCTGTTTAGCACGAAGTATGGAATAAGACACGAGTCTTACACCAGTAAAGATCGATAAAATAGATAAACAATGCCAGTTGGATCTTGTTAATTAAAATTTTCAACTCCTTTACTTTATTTTATTTCAAAGAGTAAAATTTTTTTAAATACAATTTAGTCATTGCGGAAAAAACATAAAAATCGCAAGCAATATAGTTATTCATACCTATTGATACTTACAATAGCATGACGTTTGACTGAAATATCTGTATGCATATAGTCGGGTTTTATGTATGGAAATAGACGTTTGTTGCCATAAATTACGTCTTTAAGGAAAACAAATAAAAAACCGGTTCAATACAGTACATGGACTATGTGCGATATAACTCCATGTAAAAGTTTCTTAATTAGTTTTTTTTTTCACATTTGGTAATTAAGTAAATGTATATATGGCAACACAGTTTGAATTTGGGCAACCCTGAATCATGTTGCGAAATCTTAATAAATTCTGTGTGAAGTATATTCAAACGTAATCGATATGACGACACAAACTTTATAAATGAAAGGTGCAGTTGCTTACCTCGCCAGTTGAACCTCACATCTGTTAAACGTTCGGCTACAGTGAGAGCCAACGTTATATAAAAACATCGAAAACAAGTTACTGGATCTTGTGTCAAGTGTTTTACTAGTGTTGTCAAAGATTACATAAAAATGCCTTGTCCATTTTTGGGATCGCTGAATCAAGCCTTTACAAGGAATTACGGAGCTGCTCTACTGAAACAGTACGGTAGTTACTGCCCTGTCATCTCTCGAGGCTTCCGCTCATTGGGTAATGACGAAACCAAGTGTCCTTTCATTCAGGAAAATGCCATAATATCGGAAGCGCCCAAGGAGATGTCCGAGGACATCGTGGAAACCATCCCCCCGTACAAGTACGAGAAATTCTTCAATGAACAAATTAGCGCCAAGAAGAAGGATTATTCGTATCGTGTATTCAGGAAGGTGTCTCGATTGGCGGCTGATGGAATGTATCCTCAAGCACTGGAAGGTCCCGAGAACCGTCGCGTGACCGTGTGGTGTGCCAATGACTATTTGGGAGCCTCCCGCCACCCGGCTGTTCAAGATGCTGCTGTCAATGCGATTAAATCGTATGGGACAGGCGCGGGCGGCACACGCAACATCGCTGGTAACTCCCAGATGACTGAAAAACTTGAAACTGAAATTGCACAACTTCATAAAAAGCCTGCAGCGTTAATTTTCAGTTCATGCTTCGTTGCAAATGATGCAACTTTATCAACATTGGCAAAAATCCTTCCAGGCTGCATCATTTATTCCGATGCAGGCAATCATGCCTCAATGATACAAGGGATCCGTAATAGCAGAGCACCTAAACATATATTTAGGCATAATGACCCCAATAATCTTAGACAATTACTGGCTGAATCTCCTGCTGGAGTTCCGAAACTAGTCGTATTTGAGACTGTCCACTCCATGAGTGGAGCCATTTGTCCGTTAGAAGAAATGTGTAATATTGCACATGAGTATGGAGCTTTAACATTTGTTGATGAGGTTCATGCTGTTGGTTTATATGGAAAACATGGTGCTGGTATTGCTGAAGAAAGAGGAATACAAGATAAGATTGATATAATATCGGGTACGTTGGGCAAGGCCTATGGTAATGTGGGGGGTTACATCGCTGGATCTTCACTTTTGGTGGATACTATAAGATCCTATGCACCTGGTTTTATTTTTACTACTGCATTGCCACCTCCTGTTCTAGCAGGTTCTTTAGCAGCCATTAGACTCCTTGCAAGCGAAGAAGGAAGAAGCCTGAGAGCAAAACATCAAGCGAATGTCAGATATTTGAAACTTTCATTACTGGTAGCAGGGTTGCCTCAGTTACCATCTGTCAGCCATATTGTACCTGTTCCTATAGTGGGTGCTGACAAGGTGGCTCTTGTTGCAGAATCTCTTATGAAGAGAGGGCACTATGTGCAAGCTATAAACTACCCGACCGTTGCACGTGGCGAGGAGCGGCTGAGGTTCGCCCCAGGCCCATACCATACTCCAGAAATGATCGACAGTCTTATCACTGCCTTAATAGAAGCATTCCATGAAAACAATATAGTTTTCAACGAGTTCATGAAAAACGGGACCTGTCGAGAGTGCAGCATGGAGTACAAGGTCGAAATCGGCCAAGACGAGCTGTACAAGTTCCCCATGCAAGTTGCGTAAGCGCACAAAATCCTAACCGACGGCCATGACAATTATTATATAAGTAAAATACCTATATTGGGCGCAACATGAAATGAAAAAGTAAAAAATATGGTTAATCGATGTTATATAGTTTATTTGAGTTTTATTTATGGTTCGTGGTTGATGTTTAGGAGAAATTAAAGCTGTGGCAATTTATTCAATTCTTTTATTTAGTCCCAGTACTTGATGACACCGTCCCAGCTCGCTGTCAGCAGTTTGCTGGGTTCGTGCGGGTGCCACAGCGCTGATATGCATACTCCATCGTGGGCTTTCCATTTTTTGTACAGTTTCGTCGTTTTCCAATCCCATATATAGCATTTTCCGTCTGCATCCCCGGATACTAGATAACTGTAACAATATTAACACAGATTTAGATAAAGCGAGCAGATAAATGTGAAGATAAATTGATTGAACGTGAGATAACAGAAATAGTTGTTACTTGGGAGTGAAAACCCAAATCAGACGAAACTGTTTTGATCGTTAATAAACCTTAGCTACTTACTGTGCCATCTATGACACGCTAGTTTATTCTATAGCTAAACAACTAATACATATATACTATTATACTATACTAATTTTTATAGAAAATATATTTAAATTAAGGTCTTGGTGGTGTAGCGGTTTAGCACACCACCTTATGTAGGTGGCGGGTTCAATTCCTCGCACAAAGCAAATATTTGCATTCATGTTATCATGTTTTATATTGGTCTGGGTACTCTGGGTATTTTGTATAATGTCTCTTATTATATATGTATTAACAAAAAGTATTTAAATATGTATTATATTGTGTTATGGGTACTAGATAACTGATATCTAGTACCCATAACATAAGCCCGGCTAGTAATAGATGGCGCTGTCTAGATTTTTTTTTTTGTGGATGATAATGGTATGGGGGTATACCAGTGGAGGATGATAAGATGAACGTGAAGTCAGATCAGTTAGCCCAACGTGACACACCACACAAAACACCGAGAATTTATAACGATGGTTTCCAGGGGGAACCGCGTGGTGGTGAATCTGACATGGTACATTGCTAGCAATAAGATCAACAGTCCATATATTACTAACAATGTCCTTTCCCCCCGCTGTGTAGATTGTCCAAGATTATTATTATTAAAAGTTAGTATTATACGGGCATCAAAAACTAAACCATTAAAAGGTGAAGCAGTGGGCTAAACCACTAGGACACCGTGGTATAAACCGACGAGGTACAATAACAATAATAATAATGGGACCTATGATCTCGATTATTATTATTATACTAGCTGCTGCCCGCGGTTTCACTCACATGATATTGGCAGCCTATGTGTTATTCTGATGCATATATATATTACTATAAATATTTCATCAAAATCCGTTCAGTATTTTCTGCGTGAAAGAGTAATAAACATTCATCCATACTCATAAACTTTCGCGTTTATAATATTAGTAAGAATTATGATTTCTTATCCACTATTTCTAGTTCCGGATTATTACAAATATCCAGTTACAACACGCCAAATAAAAAAAGCACCAGTTCAACAAAACAACTTAAAAAACGATTTTTTTGTTGCAATACATATTCTAAGAAAAATAGTTGGGTATTTTGCAAACGTGTCAATAGACCCGAGCGGCCAAATGTACGTGATAAATACAGCTATGTACCTTCACCAACCAATCGGCCAGTCATTGTGCTCATATTCGGACCAACATTAGCTTTGCCATAACTGATCACAATAGCACATTTTAATTTAGTTTTGGACGGTAATTGATGTAGAAAAAACTGTTTTAATTGTTAGAGAATTCGAATAGATTTTTTGTAGCTGACCGTTTGCATTTTGGTATTTTTTATGGATATCATCCAGCAATAAAACTTCCAAATCGTACCTACATCTGTCTGCGCTAACGGTATACGGCTCATCTAATGGTAAATGGTTCCAGATATGCTAGCCCATCTTGGCGTATTTATCAGGAATTAACCTGTGCTGCAAGAAATCCCTCTTTTAAGGTAAATACGCCCAACTAACTATTTTTATATACATTTGTGCATATTTGCTTTTAATATATATAATATAATATCCCCAGACAATTCACACAACGCTATCTAGTCCTAGATTCGCAGAGCTTGTGTTATGGGTATTACACAACTGATTCGATTGACGATTGACGTCGATGGACGATTTAAATATATAGATATATTTTTTTAATTTCATATATTAAAGAAAACACCCGTACCGGTACAAACAAATACACTCATGAATATAAACGGTTTTACCATGCGAGGAATCGAACGCGACCATCTGACTAAAGCGATGTGCCTAACCAGAACTCGAAAAATCACAGAGTATATATATATTGAGAGTATATAGTCAGGTCAAAGATTAAATGGATATAAATTGATTTTATATATATAAACTTTATTACAGGCATAAATATGTGAGATTAAAAGAGACCTTTGCAACAATAAGCTCATTAACAGACTCCTTTTAAATAATATGAACACGTATATACACTTAACAAAACAATATGTCCGTCCATCACTAGACAACTATAATAATCAGTAAGTTATTGCCGATTGCATCCTGTACTTTGAAGGTCTGCGTACGTAACGTCTCTCGTCGTGATTTAAATAAATAGCATGATCAATTGACGAGATCCGGCTTCGAATTGAGGGTACGTATACCATACACCTGCGTAAATAACTACATATTTATATTTACAGATTAAAAATACCGCAGTATTCTGATTTATGGCTACGTGTTATCCGCGACTTCGTCGGCGTGGCATTATTGACTATCATTGAATCCAAAATTTGATAATTTGAATGAATGAAAACTAAGGGAGTTTTCACTTTCAAGACTAGTTCAAAAATTTTTGTTTAGCTAAGACGGTATTGAATTGACCGTCCGCATTTAACTAAGCAGCACAAACAGAAGAAAGTACATAGTTGTAGATAGTTACAAAAAAAAAGGAAAACTAGACCAAAGACATTTCTTTCAATTCAATGGCAACTAAAGGTTTAGCCTAGAAAGTTGCAAGAATTTTAGCGCATTTGGTCACATTTTTTAAGTCTTTAGTGCAAGGTGATGGCTCCGCAGGCGCAAGCTTCCCTTGGCCAAAGACAATGTATCCAATCCAATTGACATTATCCTCTTATGATGGGAGACACATTTCTACGTGCATATTTGTATTAAAAGGTTGTTATAATATTGCGAACACTGAATATTGCAAGAATATGGTTTCTTATTTGTTTTTTCAACGCAACTTCAAAGTTCAGTAATAAAGTTAACATCATCTGCTTATTCCTTATCGCATTTATTTGGGGTCGGCGTAATATGTTTTTCTCTTCATTCATCCCAGTTCGCCGTGTTCTCGTTATTTATTCCCTTTCTTACCATATCACCTTTCACACAGTCCAACCATCTCTTTTTCGGTCTTCCTCTGCCCTTATAATCATCCACATTCATATGTAACGCCTTCCTTAAGATATCATATTCTTTCCTAGTAATAAATTTAACAAACTTTGAAATTTTAATAATAATATTATGTATGCATTTGAAGTGGATATAGTATATCAAGCAAAGGACTTCTGCTATAAAAGAATAATAATTTAATTGTTTTTTAATTGAGACCGCAATACAGTTTTTCCGATAATATGAGTGACCTACAATTAAAAGGCCTTCTGTGGTTTATTAGTATTCATTTAATAATAACAATCCCAGAAAAATACTGAATTTCTGACATTTTCTTCTATTTCGTTTATGCATTGTCAGTGGCCGTACTTTGCCTGGGCTATTACTATTAGACTGCATTTGCGCATTATTATTTTATTTATACCCTTTATTGCACCAGATACAGAAAATAATTACAATAATAAATATACATGAACTAATAGAAAAGGCGATCTTAACGCTGAACTAAATAAACAAGCTCTTTCTTATTTCAACCTTTGTGTAGAAAAAGTAAAGATTGGTAAAGTTGAAACTTACTTTGTAAATTATGTACCTTGTGATACACTTCTAATGTAATAAAGAGTAAATAAATAAATAATACTGGGAAATAAATAAATAGAGAAACAATTGACAGAATCACTCGGAGACAGAACGGAATGAAAAAGATTAAAGGAAGCTTGGAAGCAGATGATCAAGACAATATAAACATAGTTTAAACAATACTACTAAACAACAAAGTAACGTCTGAATAAAAGGCTATAATAAAATAAAAGTAAATAAAAAAGACAATAATAAAACCATTCATCATGCTACAATTTATGGAGCTGACCCTACTAATTATAGCAAAACTAGTTTATACTCGCCACTTCGTCCAAGGTATTATGATTGACAGGGATTGACAGGCATGTACTCCATTCCAAATGCAACGAGCTATGCCATGCAGCATTACCAGATTCTTTATTAGGCAAAACGAGACTTAGCAACCACTTCAGTAGTAAAAACTGTTATCTATTGTTAAAAATATACGACCAAAGAACTCATCATATTTACAAATATGCAATAAAATATAAGAACTTTTGTAGAACACGCGACCTACTGTAATATACTATAACTTTATAAGTAACCAACTTATTACTGTAAATAAAAACGGACAACAGGATCGTGAACATGTCGAAAAACGGACAAACATTCCCGGGCGGATCAATTTGTTTTACCCTAAAAATCATGATTTGTAAGCCCGTTACAAACATACTTTCGCATTTATATTATTAACTAGCTGTGTCCGCGACTTCATCCGCGTGTTATTGGGACCTTGACCAAATATAGAAAAAATATTTAATAATCTAATCCAAAAAAGGCAAAGAAAAAAGATTCCTCGTTATAGTTTCAAAAATGATGGTTTTCTATACAAACCTTTATCCCTATTTTTTACTCCTTTAAGGGTTTCTTATTCATATTTATTTATATTTAATGAACAGCCTAAGAAATAAGTTTCAAGATTCTAGTTTTAAAAATGACGATACTTCCATTGAACCCTTCATCTCCCCTTTCAACCCCTTACAACCCTTTATTCGCATAAAAAAGTAGTCTATGTCCTTTCTCAGGGTCTAGTCTAGACTATCTGTGTATAAAATTTCATTCAAATCGGTTCAGTAGTTTTGTCGTGAAAGCGAGACAGACAGAGTTACTTTCGCATTTATATTGTTAGTATTGAAATTACCGTCCCTATTAAAGTGACGGATTGTTTACAAAATGTTATAGAGTACCTGTAGAGGTGTTTTTCCACATCGAAAAATGAACTAAATGACGGTCTCCGTTAGTAGTAACCTTTGCTCACGTAACGCAGTTATTTATATAACATGCGAGGTCGGGGAATAATTGTAAACACTTATTATTAGTATATGCCCTTTACTACAA